CGATTTTTAAACAACCACGATAGTAAATATTCGACAAACGAACTTGAATTGTTGGGAGTAGTCTGGGCTACAGAACATTTTAAACATTACTTGTATGGTGCTGAATTTGAAATTGTGACGGACCATAAGGCATGATTATCAGCATTAAATGCAAATCAGAGCAACAAAACTATGCATAGCAGATTAACTCGTTGGGTAAATCGACTGTTACCATTTAATTTCAAGATCAAGCACATTCCGGGAAAAGAAATGGGATTTACAGATTTATTGTCGAGACTACCTTCAGGAAAAGCACTCCCTACATCACACTACGATAGCGAATTTGTAGTGGCTACAGTACAAAAGATTGTAGAAAACCTCTCTGTAAATAACGATTGTAAAAAAAATAATTGTAAAAAGAACGAAGTGTATAATCCATTGGATGTAAATACGATTAGTAACTTGGATTGTAATAATCCAATGGGTGGAAAGAAAGATTTATCGCAAAGCATCCAACGGTCGTTCTTCTCGAAAAATCTGAATTACGTACACGACACTATCAGAATTTGTAATTCCAATCACTCGCGTTCAGAGTCTTGCACAAGCGGTTTTGTTCCATTAAATTTATCAAAATTTGATTTCAATTATTTTTACTTATCAGACAAAACTTTTTTATTCTTTCTTGCCCAATCAGTATTATTAATCAATCAGTCATTAAATTCAGATAAAAAAAACAGTTACAAGAATTTATTACATCGGTCAACTTGTTAAAAATTTCCCTCAGGGCAGAAAAGAAAGGAATCTTCTTGAATTTTAATAACGACATAATGTCAGACCTACACAAGAAATTATTGGCCAAGTACAAGGGAGATCTCAGATTGCCTGACAACCCGTTATCACTTTCAGATCATTGCTCGAATAAGCTGATTAAACTCATGACGGACGAAGATAAAATCCTCAAGGAGGTAAAGAAGGCGGTACAGGAAGGCAAACCATTGGACAAATTCGGAGCCTACTTAAAGAACTTCCAGAGGGAAATCCACGTGAAAGAAGGACTGTTATTCAACGATAACAAACTGATAGTACCGGCTGCATTACGATCACCATTCCTGTCACTCCTTCACGAGACTCATCCAGGGCAGTTCGGGATGAAAGCCCTGGCAGAAAACATCTGGTGGCCACACCTATACAGAGAGATATACCATCATGGAAAGAATTGCACTCAGTGTATAATGGCCGGTAAGAACCTAAAAGTGTTACTAGGGACGAACAAGACTGAGAAAATACCGATTCTGACCGAACCAATCGAAGAAGTAGATTTAGACTTTGCTGGCCCATTGGACAAGAGTTGGGGTAACGCAAAATACCTTTTGTTGTGCATTGATCGCTTTTCAAAGTTTCCGTCTGCGAAGGTAGTAAACAACACCTCGACTTCTTCAATTTTAACATTCATGACAGATTACTGCTATCTTCACGGATTTCCAAAGTCCATTAGAGCTGACCATGGGTCATGTTTTACTTCGTTTGATTTTAGAAACTTCTGTGAGAAGAACAACATTAATTAAATTCTATGTACGGTTGGTGATCATAGATCCAATGGAGTAGTAGAAAGACTCATTTACACTGTCAAAGCTAAGCTTCTGGCAATGTCGTTCAACGATCCAAAACCATCTTTAAATACGGCTATTGATAAAATTATTTGGAACATACGCTCGACGAAACAATCATCCATTGGATGCTCTCCTTTCTCAAAACATTTTAATAGATCTCCCAATACGTTCTGAAAATCTTTGGTCTCTCACGCAATTAGTTTAGATAAATGGGAAATCAATCTTAACGAAGGACAGAGCACAAGACTGGGGGGCTGATGACGCGTTCGAACATGGCTATCTGGAAGTCAGGGCAATTGATGAAAGAGGGTATGAGAGCGACCCTGCTGACAAAGTAGATAGAAATCTCCAGCGAGCCCCACTGTCAAATCTTTTCAGCCAAGGAGGTAACTGGTTTAGGAAAACAGTTAACAGGAGGGAAGGAGAACCTTATTTTAAACCACTGGGGAGTAAACCTTTGTCAGACACGAAACATACGGTCACATTAGATAACGGACATGTGATAAGAAAATCTGACTTAGATTTTAACAAAACCCAACCGGCAGCTTCTAAGACATTCTCGGCAAGACCGAATTCGCAAAATAATAGTAATGATTTAGCGGGCAAGCGAAAAAGAAACTCCCCTTCCAAGAGACGAGACTCAAATATAGGAGGCCCTTCGATGAGTTACACACCAACGGGTGGAAATTCTGGCAAAAAGAGGAGAACATTCATCACGAGCTCGAAAGGTTCAAAATTCGACTTTAATAACCTAGATTCGTCGTTAGAGTTAGACCTTTGGGATAAAGTCATTGACGACTACTTGGGTACGGAAGCGGAAACTGTATGTAATACACCGACTGTTAACCTTCATAGTGATTTAGATCAACCAAGGAGTACCGTAAAAAGCCAGACAAAAACGCAGACAACGGTCACTTTACCAACGGGCACAAGTGACGACCCAATTCGAGTGGATAGCTCTCCGGAGAAGAAAGTGGAGACACCAAAGACCCCAATACCCGCAAAACTTCGTGCAAGAAGAAATCCAGCCCCCCCACCCCCCGAAATTCTATGGTGATAGACGGTTTATCGACCAAGTGACGCTCGGAACGGAGACAATTAGTGCAGTAGACTCCGATGACGAACCGCTTATTACGTTTTCCGGTGCAAAGAGTCCAAAACAAAATTTATCATACTGTACGACGTCCCCCTCGGATTATCTTACACCCATTGATGAGTGATGAGATCCCACGTCATACGATTTTGGTTGCTGAAACCACACAAGACCAACTCTCAACACCTTCCTCTCAGGCGACAAGGACCGCATGGGTATCGCCACCATTGGTAGAAGTTACCAGTAATACTCAGGATGACGACGGCAGTGACATATCCTCGGGTATCGATACCGATGTAAGAAGAGAGGCAGATAATTTCCATACTAGATACAACACTACGGTCACAAACTCTGAAAACTTTTAAACTATGGTAACATGACATGTTACGTATTTGATTTGGCTTTTATCCATTGGATAACCCAAAACTTTTTTTTATTACCTAGTTAGTGAGTTAGTTAGTTTGCTTTAATTGTACAAATGCTACATAACCCCAATTGTACATATCATTTTGTACATTCAGTGTTGATATCTGTGTAAACCTGTAAGTAGCCTGTATATATTACCATATAATCACCTCCATTGTAATTTGTACTCTCTGTAAAAATCCATTGGTGCTAAATGTGGTTACGTTTTGTTTCTTCTTTGGCCCTGGTGGAGCGCGGGGAGATGGAGTATATGTGTGATATTGGCTACATCGTTGAGCGGGCAGATATTAATTTTTTGTGCAGTGGGGAATGTTGTGATTCAGTATTTTTAGTATGTTATAACCTTGACCTCTATTATCTAATTACGTACCAGTCAATGTTAACTCTACGAAGTCCAGTGGACTTCGGTTCACAAGTTGCTCTTTTTAGACTACAGTCAGTTTTAATTCAACCAATACTTTTATTCTCTTTTAACTTTAGTTAGATACAATAGTTACCAGTGGTACATCTTAACTCTTTATTAATAACTAACGTTAGTTGTTTTGATTATCAAAATGAGTCACAAACAGAAAAACAAAAAATCATTAAAAAACACTTTTAACATTTTTGTCGACTTTTTTGTCATATAATAAAAATGTATATATAAAACCAAGGTTACTCGGCCGCTTTAGTTTTAAATTTTTTTACGATCGTTCGAATCACAATTAAAAAGACATTTTTATGATGTATCAACTAACCCAACCCATCACGTGGTAATTTGCAGTAGCTGATTTTACATGGACAAGAAACAGAAAAAAAAGAAAAGTTCGGAACAAAAATTATTGTCGTTAAAGCAAAACTCCTGCTTGATCTGCAAGCCCCCAGAGAAGAAGCACACAAGCTACAGTCCGAAACAAGGTCCTTTCTTCTCCAGAGAAGGGAAGGTAACTCTGTTTCGAAGGCGCAACACTACACTAAATGAATCGTTCGGTTTGCTTATAATTTTTTTTATTTCTGATGGTTTCACAAAATTGCAGCGACTAACAACAACAGCGATTGAACCAACAACTTTTTAACTGAAAGAAATGTTCCCGACTGAAAGTTAGAGAGCTAAAATTAATGGCAGCTTTGTTAGACTTTTTTCACTCAGTACTGCAGTTCGAAGAATGGTTCGCTGATGAAACCCTGTCTAAACTATGATTTTTCTGTCGCGGAATTAGCATTGACGCGATCGACAAAGTCAAACAGTTTGTATGCGCGCATCGCAGTTCAAGAGCTATTTTTAAGCTGAACTTCTTGCCAACCTTGAAAAAATTCATCGTGAAACTCATTATTGAAATTTTAGTTTGTTCTAAAAAAAGCGTATAAGAACACTGCCAAGTTTTCTCAACCCCTCACAACCGGGAAAATTGTGCAAATTAACATATTGTAATTCTATTTACAACTAGAAGGTATTAACTGGTTTTTGACAATTTGTTTCGAAATATCCTTTTTGAAAATCGACTTTATGTCTAAAAAGTGTTTTAGTATGATACAATACTCGAAGGTGTCCAAAAGTGCGATGAAAAAATTAACGTAGCTTGAAGTTCTATCTCTCTCGTGAAGTGAGCGCAACATAAAATGATTGGCAGATATCGTCCTACATAATTTTGGCTTTGCTGGTGGGTTAAAGTATAAAAATTGCGAAATTTTTCTTCTAGATACTAAAATTAGACCCAAAATTGATTAGCATAGTAAAATAACTGGCCAATGTGAGTTAAAGGCGTAGAATCCACCTTTTTAAACCACCAAAAACTCTTTCTTTCAATTCGTTCGCCAAATAAGATGTCAAGGACAATTTGCTATTAAATAAAGTTTGAGTCTTCTTTTAGTCAAGGAATTAGTGAATAGCAGCAACAGAAAACAAGACTCACAAGTGATTCCGATCTTCTTGAGGTCTCCGAACTCGAGACTAATCTGCTTTTTGCACTGGGTGTCGTTGAAAGAAGGGTCCATCAGGACAGCCGCTGGGGGCAGGGAGGCGTCGGCGGTGCAGCCGAGGAACGACGGGGAGGCTTGGATCACAGACAGACCACACAGACAGATCTGGTTGTACTGGGGGTGTGACTCATCGACCCTAACCTAATCAGCGAACGAGCAATTCAATTGAAATTAGTTTTTTTTTATTAAAACCTAACTAAATCTAATTTATTCAGCAACTTATGTTTACTGAAGTTTTTTTAACCACCAAAAATGTAACACGAAGAAAAGCTTAATAATTAGGTGTGTTTACTGAGTCAAAAACTTGGTATGTCAGAAAACCCTCTCAATATTGATCGGAATTTCCTTTGTGATTTGGATTCACGAAGTTGGAAGGTAGGTGCAATGGTTTACGACACCAATTTTTTTCGATTTTTTTTTGTAATAATTCAAAATCCAAAAAAGATACTTCGAAAAAAAAATCTGTCATAATTAAGGCTGAAATGGAGTTCAATAGAGAGTTTAAAACCACGGCAGGTTTGCTTGACTTTTGTTCAGCTTCACCTTGAAGTGGAAATTCTGCACTTCGAAGAATGGGTCGATGACCTTGACCTGTGCCCTGCCACTTCCTCCCGAGTGGAACAGAAGACTCATCTCACTGTCCTCCACAATTGACATAGCAGCCGACGGACTCATCTGGAACAGTCTCCAGTTTTTATCATATGATACAGACTCATATGTAATCATCATTTAATTTTCAGACCAGATAGTTATTAACATACATCTTATGAAAGTGTACGCTTACAATTTAGGTCGGTTTGGGAGAATACCGAAAAGGCATCAGCATGTCGCGTAGCCTCTCTAAGCACTCTGTTAACAGCATTGTGCTTCTATTAGGTTTTTACGGGGGCAAAACCTTTGCGATTTAAAAAGCCTTGACAAAAAATCGCTGAGTGCTTTTAGCTAAAATCTGCGACCGCGTCTTTAAAATAATTGATCCCAAAACTACACTCAAAATGGTCTGTTGTGTTTCAGAGAATTTGAATTACTAATGGCAATGTTGCGATCCTGATTAACATTAACATGCGTTTTGTTTGCCTGATGTTTCATGCATTGTAATAATTTTTACAAAATGAGTTAATTTACTTAAATTATTTCATTAATTAGCTTTACATATTAGATTTATTTTTTTTCCATGTTTAAAAGTTAGAACTGAGGCCTTGTGTTACCCTCAGCTTGATGTCTGAGCCCCTGAAAAATCTGAATTTGACTGTCCTAGCCCCCCGCTCGTCAAATAATTATTGCAGCGCAACTGATAATAATTGATACGTATTGCAAATTTTTGCAACAATTAACGGCGTTTTGTTCCCATTCAAAAACAAGTAAAACCGGTTGCTGTTCAAGTTGCTCCGAATATTTGAATATTCGGACCATATTCATAAAAAAAACTACAAAAAAATACTTTCTTTTTTCAAATTGAAATCAATGTTTGTAATCGGTGTGATGAGAAAACTATACAAACGTGTAGAAAGTTAACGAATTAGGCAAGATCGACATCATTTGTCCTAAAAAAAATTTTTTTCACAAAATTTTTAGGATATTTTGGAAATTTCTTTTGCCTAGATAGCACTAAATTAAAATAAATTTTTGATTAAAAGTGCTTATTTTCTAACCAGCTTTTTTCGTCTCAATGTCGTTCGAATCACGACTGAAAGGAATATAATATGATATACCACTCGACCCATTCCATTGATTATTCGTGGCACCTGATTTTGCATAGAAAACAAAAAATATATAAAAACCAATGAGGCTCTATGTTACTGTTACCGCTGGCAAGGGTCCCAGTTCGAATGCGATGTCTGACACCCAGTCTGCGCCCTCATGGTTGTACTGCATGGCTGCTGCGAACCAGTAGATGTCCCCCTCCACATAGTCCTTGTGGCTGATCAACAAGATGTTGAAAGTGATGGAGAACACAGTGCCTGCTGGCCAGTCGATCGACCCAAGGTCCAAATACATAGTGTCCACCTGTAAGGAACTACACCGTTTCTTTGAGTTTGAATTTTTGATTGAATTCATTTTGGATGGTTATAATACAACCAACGAGGTATAAATACCAACCACACAGGGACAAATCCCGAGCCGAAAACGAAAACTCTTCTAGGAGCTGCCCTGGATAAAATTGGAAAAAAGAAGCAAGCTGACTTACGGTCACTTGTTACAAATCAGGTCAAAAAGTTTTGAATTTTCGTTTTAAATTGATTGCAAAATAGAAGTTTTTTTGAAAAAATAAATAAAATCAACAGAGTTTCTGATTGGCTAATGCAAAAACAACAACATAAATATACATTCCATTTTAGTGATAGCTACTATTTTTAACTCTTTCTTTACGTTAAGGATCCGTCTCACAAATGAACATGCGCACCGTAAAAACGAAGCAACGATCTCGAGAACTTGAAGTTACCATACTACCTTCTGCAGAAGAAAACAGTTTACGAGAAATTAAAAATATCTCAGAAAAAGACAAAACCAGAGTAGAAACAAAAATCTGAAAGCAATTAAATATTTTGAAAAAATTCTGTTTTTCTAAAAAAAAACAAATCGAATAAATAATTGGAAAATACATCTTCTCTGTTATGTTTAATGGGAACGTTGTGTTATATTTGTGCAGTATGGCTATACATATACAAGTATCACAGAACCTTCATTTCAAAGCGTTTTTAGTTTTTTTTAGAGATTTTGCTTTTTTTCCTCATTTTTTCAAAGATTTTTTTTTTCAGTTTTGTAATTGGGGGCGGTCATAACTTTTTGTTGTGAGTGTATAGTAAGGAGAGCTGGTTATAATACTCTGGTTATAGTTGCAGTTGGTGTCTATTGTGTTCTACTAAGGGACTATTCTGCTGCGCAAAGGTCCGACTGCCCGAAAATTCTCAGCCAATCAAAACACTTTATCAGACCAAACATGACTGGCTTTATCGCTGCCTTTTTTCGAGTTTTTAAATACTGAACTCTGATTGGTTGAAAAATATTTCACGCGCACTCAGTTCTACGCGCATGAATAATTCCCTTTTATACTTACATGAGGAGCGATGTCGTCAAGTGTCGCAAAAGTGAGTTCGTAATCCGACACCGCCTCAATCATTGGCTCCCCGCAAATAATGAGAGCACTGTATCCATTATAGAACCCACTGAACTCCATCGTCAAAGTGTCCTAAGCCAAAAAAAGTAAATTATAACAAAACTAAATGACACGAACAGCCTTGGAATTTCGCAAAAGTATCTTTTATGAATATTTTGATCATATAAACTTTTTCTGTGGCCAGAAAAAATTTGATCTCTTATGTATGATATAATCAACTTTGGTTTGCTTGTGAATACAGTGAACACTGAACGCTCGCCAATACAGTATGTTGTATATTAAGGCGCGATTGTACAACTTTGTCAAATGGTGGCGGGCGCAATTTTAATATCAATAATCATATCCACAATTTTTCCTCAAATCAAATGTTGCAGAAGGTGTGAAGTATGTGTGTATATATATATATTACCTGTATGTCAGCTCTGGTCTGGAATTCGAACTTCATGACAGCGAATTCGCCCAGGTCGAAAGTCTCGCTCTCGCCCGGTCCCTCAACCAGAGAGAAAGTGTTCAAACTCAGGTCATAGTCCTCGTAAGTGATCTCAAGAACAGGTGCTTCAGTGGGAGTGCTTAGCTGTGCTACTCCTGTAAACATATCTTCATCTTTTCTTTAAGACCCTCTTAAATGTTTACACAGAGAGTTTCGAACCACTAGCGGTACATCACCAATATAGTATGGCAAGCTAGCCGAAGAATAAGAGAGACGAAATCCGCCAAACCGAAAACTCAGTTGATCAAAAAATAGAAAGAAAACTACCTCTACCAAATTTTTCATCCCTGTCTCGACTAAGATAATTAAATTTGAGGGAAATGTGTCTTAAAACACATTTTTACCAGCGTTAAAAAGCATTCTTTTAAATTCTATATAACGGTAGCTAAGCCGACGGTACTTAGGCAGACACCTGCTGAGTAGAGAACAAAATTATTGCAAAGGTGTCTATGTCAATGAGCGATCCGCTGAAATTAATAAGGGAAAAAGTTTTGTTAAGCAAAAAAATTGAGCAGAACAAAAAATTGTTCTCAGCTTGCTGAATTTATTACACTTTGACTGATTTTGAATATTTTGAATGCAGACTCAAATTGTATTTCAAGAGGATTAATTTAAAAATTTAAATCAAAACAAAGCTGAGAACGAGCAGCAAGAGAAAATGTAAATATTATCCATTTGTTAGAAAAATTGTCCATATGGATCTGAAGCTGAAGAAACTACGGAAAATTTTTCCATGTAGAAAATTTCTTTTAAAGCTGACCATGTTAACAATCACAACCTCTCCAAAATTAACATTGCAAATTGAAAAAACATCCTGCTAAAATCCAAAAGACTTAATTCTAGTTGACTAAAAGAGATTGCTTTTAACCACGTGAACAATTTTCTGGCTAGTTTGGTCTAAACACTTAAGTCTAAACAATTCTCCCAGTTATTTTCTTCCGCACTTATTTAAAATTATTGAGTATGTTTTTGATAGCTCCTTAGTGTGTTCAGTGTTTTTTTAACAATCAGCGTTTTTCAGAAGTTTTGTTTGCAAAATTTTATTTTTTTTCTAAAAGGTTTTCAGGAAAAAAACGAAGAGAAAGAAAAGATACTCCGTGACGTTTGAAACAAAACTTTTGCATCGTAACTGGACTTAAATTGAAATTTAACTTGCTGGGCGTATGCTTTATCAGCTAAGCAAAGTTTCGAGATTTTCCGTAATGATTTTTTTGGGTTAATTTTTTGAATATTAGCAGAGTATTAGCAGAGATTTCGAGTTTATGCTTTAGCATAAACTGCCTCACCGTGTTTGTAAATTATACTAGGTGAGACTTGCTTTAAAATTTTGGACTTGAATAAGTGGAATCGCCCTAATCTTTTGCCTATCATCTGAACAGTCATTCCAGTGTTGGAAATTTATGACTGCGCAAGATATTAGTGGAGTACCATCGTAGTGGCTGTTAGTTCTTGTGGCACAAAACTTGCAGTTTCTGAAAATTTCGAGAGACTGTTCATCCTAAATTTTGACGGACTATATTTGCGTGTCGATCTCTTTCACAAAATTGCTCAAAACCTGGCAACTGAAATGCGTGAAGATGAGATGACAAAAGGACAAAACCGATGAACGAGTAAAAGAGCTCAAGAAATATCAATACATTCGAAATTTCAGCCCGTTTTTATATTTTCAACTGTGCAATCAATTTCTGTTTGAAGCAGAAAAAACTCAAAATATCCTCATTAGTTGAAAAAAATCTCATCAACATACGAAGCTCATAAAGACAAGCTAAACAATTACAGATCCGATTTGCAAGTTACTCTAGAAGAGATCAAATAAAAAACAGAACCTGTGTTACTTAGCTTATGCTTCGCTTAGAACACTAAATATTTTCATCATAAACATGCCGCTGAATATGTACTTTAAATTTTACCCGTTCGAAGCACTCCTTTGCTGCATTCAACTCATTAAATTTCAATTCCCTTTAATCCGAAACACTTTTTGGTCATTTGAGTTATTTGCAGTGAAAGCTAGTTCTGCGAATTTTTCCTAATTGGCTTTTTCGAGTGCTGATGCAAAATGTTTTATTTCCTCGGGTATAATTTAACCTTCCTGGCTGAAAATGAAGTCTGAGAGCCAGAGGTTTCTTTTATCTGAATTAAAAAGCGACTTTGTTTTTCTCACTTTCTAAAAAAGCATATGCTCAACCACTTTTTTGAGGAAATAGGGGTATGTTGAATGAGCTGTAGACAGAAAAGCAAGGGAAAATTAAGAGGGCCGTGTTTGAGTTAAGACCTTGACTCGTTAAAACAAGGCAAAAAAAACACATATTTTTTGTATCCGAACACCTGGTTTAAGTGTTAATCTTTTAAAACGCCAACATAGGAATCAGTTTTAAGGTGCTAATGCATAATTTTTCAGTGAAATTGATTGCCTGAACATCTCTGATCTCTGTCGTCATTCTGGTAATGTGGTTAGTAACCTCAACTTTTTGCGTGTTTCAAAATTTGTTGATGAGAATGAATTTCTGATTATCACAGCTGGCAGATAAAATCCTTGAAGATGATAGAACAAAAAGAAAAAAGGGAATGGGAAACAGGGTTCAAGAAAGTTTTCCTTATTTATAATTTTTCGGCCAATTTTTAAATCTTCAATTGTGCAACAATATCCGTATTCAAGCAGGTGTTTCGCCTAAAAGTTTTATAATCAATTACAATTAAATCAAATTTGTATACTTTAACATATGCCTTGTTTTGCATACAAAAATCTTAATCAACAATTTGTCGCTCAAATTATACTCTTGTTTCCACTGATTTTTATTGTAATGCTTCGACCATTCCTTCACAACGCGAACTTCATATATACTTTCAGAAACGCAAAAAAAACTTTTGCTTTTCAGGCGGTGCAAAGTTAGGTTAAAAACAATAACTAAGCCAAAACCATATAGACCAAAGAAAGCTTTTGAGCAAAACAAAACAAAGCTTTCGAGCCAAATAAAGCTTTTGAGCACACAAACTGAGCAGTAAGTTAAGCAAAGTCAAGGGCTACTAAGTCTACACACAACAAGAATGAAACAAAAATACTTTCAATTACAAGAAAACTGCTTGCAGCACAAGAAAAGCCCGTAATGTGGCAACTCAGCCGACGAAATATATACAGACAATAATAGGCAGAGGGTTTTTCTGTCACAGGCGTAGTCCTTGCTTCTAAGTGTGACCAAGAAGCTTAGAAGCTAAGGAATTCGAACTTATCATTCATCAAGTTACCAAATGACTCTTTCGACTTCTTTATTTAACCTATATTAAATGACCTGAAAAGAGTTTTCATTTCGATCTGGTAATTTCGAGCTTGCTAGTCTGAATGCTTATGTGAAATTGAGAGGAGAAAGAGTGCCGAAAAAAGCTATTTTTTTTCAAATTTGTTGGTCATTTTTAGGCGCAGAATTGTTTCTGCAAAATGGGGTATTTTAGTGTTTCGTGAGAGCTCAGAAAAGCAGTTTGATCAACTTACAAAATGGTCGAAAAAGTGTTTGAAAAACTTTCGAAAATCCCCCATCGACGAAACACTAGATCTGCGTTTGAAGGTCCTGACTGCTCAATTGATCATATCGGGCCTTATGCTATAATTCAGGCTATTAGCTTAACCAGCAACTTTATAAAAAAAAATGGCCGCTCTCAATTGTTGAAGCAGTTCAGAAACCATTTTTTATGTTGAAAACGAAGGTGTAAAATAGGTTTTGTAAAGTCCTGCTCCTGCTTGAATCATTTTTCGGTTGAAATGTTTTCTAGCTTTGAGCATATTTTGTATACTCCTGTTTCCTAAGTTTTTTTCCTATGTTTTTTTAAACTCTAACAATTCATACCATTCAGACTATACAGGGCTGATTGAAATTATCCACAAAACGCATTAAACCAGAAATTTATAACGCGTTTTTTTTCTCAAACTGGGTTGACTCTAGGTAAAAATGATGAAGACAAGAGTTTTAGCAGAATTATAATATTACAAATTGTTTTGCGAAAATCGGACCTAAAATTTTACCCCAAAAATGGATCATTGGGCCAGATTTCACAAAACAAATTGCACCATTATAATGTTGCTTAAATTCTCAGCAAGTTTTATATTGATCATTTTTTACCTAAAGTCAACCCAATTTGAGAAAATTACGTTTTAAATTTCTAGTGCAATGCATTTTGTTTGGCCAATTTAAATCAGCACTGTAGTCATAGTTCAAAACAATGAAAGGTGAAAACCAATTTTGCTCATTGGTTTTTCCATTTTTGCTTATGTCAAGGTCCTTATCAGACGGTTGCATTTTTTCGACGCAAAAGAAATCCCTCAAAAAAATTGCAATTTTCTTAAAAGAAACGGCGCTTGTTGCGAAGCGTGGCGAACGATTGCAATTTTTGGGTTGGAGATCAAAACTCTAGTTTTAATATGGTGGCGGTGCACAAAGTTTTCAAGTGAGTTCATAAAACCAACTTACTACGTCTAAAAAAATGTGTATTATATATCTTTCAAACACTTTAGGTCCAACCCTTTATTGAAGCAATTCTCGGTTGCAAAGTTTCTATCTCGTTTTGAGCTATTTTCGGATAAATTAACCAAATCAAGATAATTAAATTTAACTAACGAATATTTGTAGCAATCAGAGCAAATATAAACAACTCCACAGCCATATTTGTACCACAAAGCAATGTTAAAACATTTCAAGATATAATTTGAGATACGAAACGACAATAACGGATAAAAAGAAGCTCTAGCGATTAAAAATTCACAGGTGCGCATGGGGTATAATAGTGCCAAGTTTAAGTTGTGAATTTTGTTGGAGAAAACCAGCAGATATTTTCTCTCTCCTTAATCAAATATTCATTCACGAGTGTACAAGACGGTTCGTATTTGGACAACTTAGTAGCCTAGCAACAGGAACATAAAGATGTCTCCGTAACACCTGTATTCAAGCGGATTCTTTTAGTGTAAAATAAATTTTAAGTCCGTGAATAAATCATAAATCGCAGCCTCGAATCACTTTGCGATGCAGAGACGACGCAAATAAATTTTCTGAGATGACGCAACTATCAGCACACGCATTTCTAAAGATTTTTGAGCTAGAGGAAAAAAAACTTTCCCAGGACGATTTAAGCGAGGTTTTAAGTCTACGCGATCTGAGAAATCAGTTTTGTTTTAACCTTTACAAAGGCCCACTTTGAAACTATATTACCATATGAAGTTTTGGACGGCTTGAGTCTCGGTAAAAACCCGACTTGAACTTGAGTCTCTGTAGAAAAAAAAGCACATAAACTGACTCTAACCCACGTCCTGAACCAACTTAACCGTAGAAGCTGAAAAATCCGACAGTTATTGACCTTCATCAAGAGCAAAATTTTCAAATTATTTACGAGGAACTTTTCACCCATTTTGCTCTGCGCGTAAATAATTATCTAATTCATCTTCAAATAAAAGGACTGGTAGGAAAGTGAATCACTAATCCGGAGCATACTGGCTTTTTCCCATTATGGCCACCCTGAGGGCGCATTCATTTTTTTGTTAAAAAAACTGCAGGGTTTCCAGGCAGAACAACCTAAACGAGATATAGATTGGGGAAATAAACCAAAAAATTTTAATTTTTCAGGTGCTCTTCACCATTTGAGTATTTAGAAAATAGCGATATATTTACAAAAGTGCAACTTTAGCCGATTTTTTCCCGCGTTCGAATACAATAAGGACTTGGACATAGAGACGACAGGTGAATTAGTATACAGTAAAATTAGAAAATATTTTAAATAGGATGAAAAATTCGGAAATTGAGGAGACAAAAACTGAAGTCACGAATCTTCACATTTCAAATAATATGCTCAGTCTACCCGTTTTGAATTGATTTCGGATCATACAAAGACTCTTAGTGCGGTTGAGAAAGAAAATTAAAGAACATGAAATCTGTCTCGAAGAAAAAACTTCGAAAAGAAGCGCACTTCCGGAACTTTTTTTGATGGCTTCCAAGATACATCATTTCTGCATTCATCTAAGAACATTCCCAAGCTTGCTTTAGAACTTAAATTAACGAAGAGAGAGCGAGAGAGGACTAGCGGAGCTTCGCATCACTTGCGAAACAATACAAGAAAGCTGAAAAGTCGAAAAAAAACTTCGAATAAGATACATAGAACTAATCGATCAAAATGCATGACACTATTTTTTTTTGAAATTTCCGAATTTCTGAAAGAAAAATAACCTTTCAAGTTGCCCTTACCTCAAATTACACACGCATACAGATACTTTTTTTTTGCTGAACTAACGACGAAATATGAGGCCACTAAGCCGACACAGTATATTCCGAAACGTTTTAAGCTAAAAAAAACAAACGAAAATTTAAAAAAAAAAGAAATTTTAATAAACCGAGTTTGTAAAATTACAACCAACATGTAATTAAAAATTCAACTAGTAAGAATATTTAAAACACTAGCATAATACAAATAAGTCTGTTGGAGTAGTAACAGAGATGAGTGCGTTGCTTTTATCCAGATGAGTCCTGTGAACAAAGATATTTATGGGAAAAAGTCAAGCACGCAAAGGCAATCCCCTTGTTTATCGCAAAGGTCAAAATAAGAATTATTGTCATGATCTTAAGCTTTTAATTGAGATCATTTGCTGCTTTTCTAAGAGACTATAGTAGGCAGAAAACCTACTCTCACTAATAAGATTGAAATGTCATCCATTCAAAACAGAAAACAGCCAAAAGTATAGTAACAACAAAATTAAAAAAAAAATCAACTTTCACCCAATATTGTAATTAAAAATTCAACTAGTAAGAATATTTAAAACACTAGCATAATACAAACAAGTCTGTTGGAGTAGTAACAGAGATGAGTGCGTTGCTTTTATCCAGATGAGTCCTGTGAACAAAGATATTTATGGGAAAAAGTCAAGCACGCAAAGGCAATCCCCTTGTTTATCGCAAAGGTCAAAATAAGAATTATTGTCATGATCTTAAGCTTTTAATTGAGATCATTTGCTGCTTTTCTAAGAGACTATAGTAGGCAGAAAACCTACTCTCACTAATAAGATTGAAATGTCATCCATTCAAAACAGAAAACAGCCAAAAGTATAGTAACAACAAAATTAAAAAAAAAATCAACTTTCACCCAATATTGTTTGTAAGGTTGATCGAATGTCTTTTAAGCTGTTTGACGTAAAATAAGATTTTTAAAAATCGATGTTAATAGACAACGAAATAATGAAAAATTTAAACGTTTTTCTTCTTCTAGAAAATCTTCTCCAACACCAAGTGTTAAATGCAAAGTGATATATTTGTTCCGACTTTCGTAACGAAAATAACGGAACATTTGTGCTCGGGGAGATTTTTCCTTCAGACAAAGTTCGACTTTTGACTAAGAACTATTGATGAACTTTTTTTTATATCAGCCGAAAGGTATTGTTGTCCTTAAGCTCAAATTTGATAAGATATTTTACCTGTGATCTTTTTTGATAAATTTATGAGGGTTTAAAGATTGCCAATTTGGCACAATTAACGCGCGATATATTTCGCGATATTAACGCGTAAGCGAATATTTAATTTTTCATAGAAATCGTTTCAAATTGGTTGAAACATGCTATTTGTCATAACTTCTACGTTACCAGACGCAAAATCTATCTCTTTGTAGTTTATATGGCATGTCGGTGGAGGATTAAAAAAACTCGGTATTTTTTTTTCTTTTTTAATCAAAAAATTCATAATTTTTTTAAAGCGAACCCTGCTTCATAGAACTTAAAAGACGGTTGGAACATTCAGGACTTTGCCCTGATACGAGCAGTCTTGTTTATATTTAGTAACACATTGTTTGGATCAACAAGAAGCATACTTTTACGCAATTCAGAAAAATGTCTGGGCTGAATGAATTCGTTACATTCCCAAAGCGCTTGTGAAAAAATGATATTGGGCACAAGTTAAATCCTAAATTGGCCAAAGCAGTCCCAATTTTAAACCACCATTGATTCATGACAAATAATCACAAACAAAATAGATTTTCAAAATTGAGCTCAAGGAATCGATATATTTCAGATGGTTCAGAAATTTCTGGCATTAAAAGTAGAAACTGGTTTGAAAAAAAATACCCCAAATAGTTAAGTTTTCCTCACTTTCCTTCGAGCAATTATGAAAGAAATTATTTTAATAAATTTAAAGCTTTTCACATTACAGCTTGCTACGCTACTAAAAAACAAGAAACATAGATCTCAATTAGGAAACCAAAATTCAAGTAAACACACTAACACTAAACAAGTTCAGTTTTTTTTCTGTTCAGTCTAGAATCACTTATCCCCCAAACTCGTCGAATTGTTCGACCCAATCTTCTGGTTTGTTTCCATAAACTTGACTCACGTAATCCAGTACTTTCTTTTTATCAACCATTGCTAGACTTCGATTGCCAAGAAAAACTTTGGCATTTAAATATGGATCTACATTTGACCTTTCGTCTGCAGTGATGTTATTGTCCTCTTTTTCTATCCTCAAATAAGCCTCTTTGACGAACTTCTTAGTGATTAGATTCTTAATATTTCCATAAATTTCATGTTCCTGGTTTTCATAAATACCAAAAAATTGCAGCCCAGTTAGCAACGAGGATAAAGAAACCGATTCCCCGTCCATAATAACAGCATACAATAATCCATAGAAGCCCAAGTTCACTTGAGTTTTCTTCGTCGAATTGAAAAATGTTTTCGCCACTGTTCGAAACTTCTGCTGGGTAATCGTTTCTGATCAGAAATTTATCTTTCGCAAACTCCACGACTGTGTAGTCGAACTCCTGTTGCATTTTTGTCGTGACATCGTTCATAAGTTTCCGATTCAGTATATTCCGAAACGTTTTAAGCTAAAAAAAAAACAAACGAAAATTTAAAAAAGAAATTTTAACAAACCGAGTTTGTAAAATTACAACCAACATGTAATTAAAAATTCAACTAGGAGAATATTTAAAACACTAGCATAATACAAATAAGTCTGTTGGAGTAGTAACAGAGATGAGTGCGTTGCTTTTATCCAGATGAGTCCTGTGAACAAAGATATTTATGGGAAAAAGTCAAGCACGCAAAGGCAATCCCCTTGTTTATCGCAAAGGTCAAAATAAGATTTATTGTCATGATCTTAAGCTTTTAATTGAGATCATTTGCTGCTTCTCTAAGAGACTATAGTAGGCAGAAAAGCTACTCTCACTAATAAGATTGAAATGTCATCCATTCAAAACAGAAAACAGCCAAAAGTATAGTAACAACAAAATTACAAAAAAAACAACTTGCACCCAATATTGTTTGTAAGGTTGATCGAATGTCTTTTAAGCTGTTTGACGTAAAATAAGATTTTAAAAAAATCGATGTTAATAGACAACGAAATAATGAAAAATTTAAACGTTTTTCTTCTTCTAGAAAATCTTCTCCCACACCAAGTGTTAAATGCAAAGTGATATATTTGTTCCGACTTTCGTAACGAAAATAACGGAACATTTGTGCTCGGGGAGATTTTTCCTTCAGACAAAGTTCGACTTTTGACTAAGAATTATTGATGAACTTTTTTTTATATCAGCCGAAAGGTATTGTTGTCCTAAGCTCAAATTTGATAAGATATTTTACCTGTGATCTTTTTTGATAAATTTATGAGGGTTTAAAGATTGCCAATTTGGCACAATTAACGCGCGATATATTTCGCGATATTAACGCGTAAGCGAATATTTAATTTTTCATAGAAATCGTTTCAAATTGGTTGAAACATGCTATTTGTCATAACTTCTACGTTACCAGACGCAAAATCTATCTCTTTGTAGTTTATATGGCATGTCGGTGGAGGATTAAAAAAAACTCGGTATTTTTTTTCTTTTTTAATCAAAAAATTCATAATTTTTTTAAAGCGAACCCTGCTTCATAGAACTTAAAAGACGGTTGGAACATTCAGGACTTTGCCCTGATACGAGCAGTCTTGTTTATATTTAGTAACACATTGTTTGGATCAACAAGAAGCATACTTTTACGCAATTCAGAAAAATGTCTGAGCTGAATGAATTCGTTGCATTCCCAAAGCGCTTGTGAAAAAATGATATTGGGCACAAGTTAAATCCTAAATTGGCCAAAGCAGTCCCAATTTTAAACCACCATTGATTCATGACAAATAATCACAAACAAAATAGATTTTCAAAATTGAGCTCAAGGAATCGATATATTTCAGATGGTTCAGAAATTTCTGGCATTAAAAGTAGAAACTGGTTTGAAAAAAAATACCCCAAATAGTTAAGTTTTCCTCACTTTCCTTCGAGCAATTATGAAAGAAATTATTTTAATAAATTTAAAGCTTTTCACATTACAGCTTGCTACGCTACTAAAAAACAAGAAACATAGATCTCAATTAGGAAACCAAAATTCAAGTAAACACACTAACACTAAACAAGTTCAGTTTTTTTTCTGTTCAGTCTAGAATCACTTATCCCCCAAACTCGTCGAATTGTTCGACCCAATCTTCTGGTTTGTTTCCATAAACTTGACTCACGTAATCCAGTACTTTCTTTTTATCAACCATTGCTAGACTTCGATTGCCAACAAAAACTTTGGCATTTAAATATGGATCTATATTTGACCTTTCGTCTGCAGTGATGTTATTGTCCTCTTTTTCTATCCTCAAATAAGCCTCTTTGACGAACTTCTTAGTGATTAGATTCTTAATATTTCCATAAATTTCATGTTCCTGGTTTTCATAAATACCAAAAAATTGCAGCCCAGTTAGCAACGAGGATAAAGAAACCGATTCCCCGTCCATAATCAGACAGCATACAATAATCCATAGAAGCCCAAGTTCACTTGAGTTTTCTTCGTCGAATTGAAAAATGTTTTCGGCACTGTTCGAAACTTCTGCTGGGTAATCGTTTCTGATCAGAAATTTATCTTTCGCAAACTCCACGACTGTGTAGTCGAACTCCTGTTGCATTTTTGTCGTGACATCGTTCATAAGTTTCCGATTCAGTATATTCCGAAACGTTTTAAGCTAAAAAAAAAACAAGCGAAAATTTAAAAAAAAAGAAATTTTAACAAACCGAGTTTGTAAAATTACAACCAACATGTAATTAAAAATTCAACTAGGAGAATATTTAAAACACTAGCATAATACAAATAAGTCTGTTGGAGTAGTAACAGAGATGAGTGCGTTGCTTTTATCCAGATGAGTCCTGTGAACAAAGATATTTATGGGAAAAAGTCAAGCACGCAAAGGCAATCCCCTTGTTTATCGCAAAGGTCAAAATAAGATTTATTGTCATGATCTTAAGCTTTTAATTGAGATCATTTGCTGCTTCTCTAAGAGACTATAGTAGGCAGAAAAGCTACTCTCACTAATAAGATTGAAATGTCATCCATTCAAAACAGAAAACAGCCAAAAGTATAGTAACAACAAAATTACAAAAAAAACAACTTGCACCCAATATTGTTTGTAAGGTTGATCGAATGTCTTTTAAGCTGTTTGACGTAAAATAAGATTTTAAAAAAATCGATGTTAATAGACAACGAAATAATGAAAAATTTAAACGTTTTTCTTCTTCTAGAAAATCTTCTCCCACACCAAGTGTTAAATGCAAAGTGATATATTTGTTCCGACTTTCGTAACGAAAATAACGGAACATTTGTGCTCGGGGAGATTTTTCCTTCAGACAAAGTTCGACTTTTGACTAAGAATTATTGATGAACTTTTTTTTATATCAGCCGAAAGGTATTGTTGTCCTAAGCTCAAATTTGATAAGATATTTTACCTGTGATCTTTTTTGATAAATTTATGAGGGTTTAAAGATTGCCAATTTGGCACAATTAACGCGCGATATATTTCGCGATATTAACGCGTAAGCGAATATTTAATTTTTCATAGAAATCGTTTCAAATTGGTTGAAACATGCTATTTGTCATAACTTCTACGTTACCAGACGCAAAATCTATCTCTTTGTAGTTTATATGGCATGTCGGTGGAGGATTAAAAAAAACTCGGTATTTTTTTTCTTTTTTAATCAAAAAATTCATAATTTTTTTAAAGCGAACCCTGCTTCATAGAACTTAAAAGACGGTTGGAACATTCAGGACTTTGCCCTGATACGAGCAGTCTTGTTTATATTTAGTAACACATTGTTTGGATCAACAAGAAGCATACTTTTACGCAATTCAGAAAAATGTCTGAGCTGAATGAATTCGTTGCATTCCCAAAGCGCTTGTGAAAAAATGATATTGGGCACAAGTTAAATCCTAAATTGGCCAAAGCAGTCCCAATTTTAAACCACCATTGATTCATGACAAATAATCACAAACAAAATAGATTTTCAAAATTGAGCTCAAGGAATCGATATATTTCAGATGGTTCAGAAATTTCTGGCATTAAAAGTAGAAACTGGTTTGAAAAAAAATACCCCAAATAGTTAAGTTTTCCTCACTTTCCTTCGAGCAATTATGAAAGAAATTATTTTAATAAATTTAAAGCTTTTCACATTACAGCTTGCTACGCTACTAAAAAACAAGAAACATAGATCTCAATTAGGAAACCAAAATTCAAGTAAACACACTAACACTAAACAAGTTCAGTTTTTTTTCTGTTCAGTCTAGAATCACTTATCCCCCAAACTCGTCGAATTGTTCGATCCAATCTTCTGGTTTGTTTCCATAAACTTGACTCACGTAATCCAGTACTTTCTTTTTATCAACCATTGCTAGACTTCGATTGCCAAGAAAAACTTTGGCATTTAAATATGGATCTACATTTGACCTTTCGTCTGCAGTGATGTTATTGTCCTCTTTTTCTATCCTCAAATAAGCCTCTTTGACGAACTTCTTAGTGATTAGATTCTTAATATTTCCATAAATTTCATGTTCCTGGTTTTCATAAATACCGAAAAATTGCAGCCCAGTTAGTAACGAGGATAAAGAAACCGATTCCCCGTCCATAATCAGACAGCATACAATAATCCATAGAAGCCCAAGTTCACTTGAGTTTTCTTCGTCGAATTGAAAAATGTTTTCGCCACTGTTCGAAACTTCTGCTGGGTAATCTTTTCTGATCAGAAATTTATCTTTCGCAAACTCCACGACTGTGTAGTCGAACTCCTGTTGCATTTTTGTCGTGACATCGTTCATAAGTTTCCGATTCAGGTCGACGTTTATATGCGTTTTCACATTCGCTTTAGAAACGGGTTTTAAATGGTTGGCGCAAATTAGAAAATAATTGCACACTTTTTTGATTTGTTCTTCGTAATGAAGATCTGTGACACTTAAACTGCTTTGGGTAATTGAAGATTGATCATCCGGGGCTAAAACATACAGCTTATGGATTGGGATCAACCGTACAATCTCCCCCCCCCCCCCCACCCTCACCCTTAGGTGACCTACCGTAATAATTAATTCTAAAAATTTATTCTGTTTTAATTCTTAAAACTAACCCTGTAGAAAATATGCATCTGATACAAACGCGCAAAAAGTAATTACTTTGAAACTTGTTTTTAAAATTTGTTTTGATGAATTTCGATAATTCATTCTGTTACTTAGGTGATATAACATTCTCTTCGAAATTGTCTTGCAAAAAACTCGTTTTTTCTCTCCCTATTTTAATTTGCGCAAGGGGAATTGTACATTTAATCCATCGGTTTTAAGTCTGAAAAAAAATAATAAAAAAGTCTATATTACGATTTGATTATATTATCAATTATAATTAAGTTAATGATTTTTCTTGATGAAAAACACCAGGCAGGGGATATCTGATTGCAAAATCTGATATGACAGAAGCAGCATAATCGTAAGAACAATATTTATTTAACTGCACTGGGCCAAAATAATTTAAGCTTTCTGCTAAAATAAAATATTGTTTAAAATCAAATTTTTAAATACCATTCTTAATTATTATCTTTTTAAATCTGTTTTGTTTATACCTTGACTAAATGATGCGAAGTGAAATTCTCTTACCGTCCCCTCGTTCGTTCATGTCCATTGGTTCCTCTTCATCGTCGCTTTCTATAATTCGACTTTTCCTCTTCTGTGTTTTGCTCAGCTTCGCCAATGGCTGCCCACTGTCTATAGATGGGTCCGATACTGCAGATGAAGATGACTGGGACCCCCCACCTTCCTGTCTCAATTTTGATGCTAACTTGTGGCTCATTTAACTGAAATTATTTACACATCTTGCAGCTAAATAGAAGTAAAAATGGCAAAGGATGCCAGTCGCTTTTCTATGACGGGGGAACGTTTTTTTTTTAAATTTTTTTTTGGTCTTTTAAAGCCAGCCATTATGAATTTCCTAATATTGCCGAAATGCTTGAATGGCCATATTGGCTAAAACTTTTGCACCGCAGTAATTTCTTTTAGAAGAATGTGCCGTTTTTTGAAATTTTTAGGGTTAGTCAGCCGATCACATCTGCTTTGCGCACTTTATGAATTCGAAACATTTCCGATCTCTTCTCGTAACAATAGTAACAAGGGGCGGACTAAGGGACCCTCACTCGGGGATTCGGCCTTCTCATTACCCATACTTTTTCAAAGGCGCCAACACATAGTAATTTAGAGAGGGAGCGCGCGCAAAAACGCTGTTTTTTTAGGCAGAGACTTCTAAATAAGTACTCAAAAGGTCATTATTGGCTCGTTTTTTTCTCAAAAAGCACTTTTTTGATAAAATTAACCAAGTTTTAGAAAACTGGATCAATCGTTTAACTTTTTATTCCACTGGGAAATCAGAAAATTAAATTCTACTTTCGAAACTAGACGTCGATCACGTTTTTCGTACCCTTTAGACTTTTGCTAATCGATACCCTTTAGTGGAATTTGCCTTTCTTTTAACAAAGGAAATGAACAAAAGTTAAATTCAAAAATCGAACCGTGAAATATCAAATTTGAGCGAAAAAACTTCAAGACTTTTTCCTGAAAAAAAACGAACAAAAAATCACCAAGACCTGAACAAAAAATCCCAAATCATTATCATATCTATCAACTCGCGGATGCTAAAAAAAAACAACTCTCTGCTGTATCTACTCAAAGAAAACACCTCAAAAAGTCCAGAAACAATTAAGCCTCCTGTCAATCATCATCAAATATCATGAATAACCAATAGCTACTGAAGTAGTGCAAAATAAAGTAACAAGGATAGCCGGTTTTCGTGCAATCACCGTTCCGACCAATGACAATAGTTGAGGAAAAAAATTCAAAATAAAATAAGGATAGCCGGTTGCTGTGGAAGTGGCACAGAATTTTCCAATCATATTTTTAATTGTCGTTCACATCACGACTGAAAGGGCTTTTATATGATATATCACTCGGCCCATTCTGATGATTATTTGCGGTAACTGGTTTTGCGATGGGAAGAAAAACTAAAACGCCCACATACAAAGTTCCTCCCCATCCGGAACAAAAAAGTTAGAGACAAACGAAAAAAAGAAAAAAATTTGCAATTCCGGTTAGTTTTTTCCAGCTGATACTTAAAAAAAACAATAAATATGAGATTTGGTGCAGCTAAAATAATATTATTAGAAAATGCAGCAGAGTTAAATTGTATTTCATTATATTTTGAGTTTGGTGTCATCAAACTCCAAATCCTCGAAACTGAGACAATTTCTTTAATTTTTTATTTCGGAATCAAACGCGCGGCTGAGAGGAGTTTATTATGCTACCATACTTGACAAATTTTGTTCACTTTTCAAATTTTGTTCACTTTTGTGTTTAGACCACGTACTGGAGAAGAAACTTGCATTCATGTTAATATTCACGTAAAAGGAGACAACACAAAAAAAGTTCTTCCACTCGTGATTTGAACTGCAATAAAATTTGGAAGGTATGTACATTTCATTTTACTACTCTATCGAAAAGCGATAGGCGAATTTGCGCAACACAAATATTTAGGAGCAAAATTACTTTATTAGATTATTGTTTCACGAGGCTAGATTTGATCCTCACCACTATAACGAAAATTAATCAACAAAAAAGACCATGTGTTTATTGTTCCGACTTTCGTAACGGAATATTTGTGCTCGGGTGGGTTTTTTTCTTCAGACAAATTTCGACTTTTTAACTAGCCAGTTTTGACGGAATTTTTCTTAATCAGTCAAAAACTATTGTTGTCCTGAGCTCAAATATGAAAAGCTATTTCACCTTTGTTCATTTTTTGTAAAGTTATGAGGGTTTAAAAGTTGCCATTATGGCCAATTTGGGACAATTAACGCGCCATATTTTTTGCACTAGTAACGCGTAAGCGAGATTTAATCTGTCTTAAAAATCGTTCCAAATTGGTTCAAGGAAGCTTATACGCCATAATTGATTTGTTAAAAGGAGCAATATTTATTATTACTTTGTTCTTATTATGGCGTGTGGGGATGTTTCACAAAAAATCTCTTTATCTCATTTTATTACATTTAAAATTTTCATGTTATTACTGCTCCATAGACATTAAAAGGCAGTCGGAAAATTCAGGGCTTCGCCCTGATACGGGCAGTCTTGTTTTTGTTCTGTAACTCAAATGTCCGCAAAATTTCCTGTACTACTTACTTGTACAGTAATCTAAAATCCTTAATCAGAATAAGCAAATCTTAGGGAATCATGTTGCAAGCAACTAGTTTAGCAAACCCACTTACTGATAAACAGTACTCTTTTTTACAGGGAATGTGATTTTCTGGTGCATATACAAAACAGTCCAATACAAAACAGTCCGAAAAATCATGTAATGAACGAAAGAAACAGTCAGATACAAAACAGTGTGGTTTAAGGTCGCCGGTGGGCCCGCGTCGTCGCTCTGCGGCGATATCCGGCTCTAAATTTTGTATTAAGTCCTACCCTCTGTTGGCAAGCTTGCAACACGTTGGCGCGACTGCTGTGATCACTATTTTGTTGTTTGTTTGTTGTACAAAAAACAATTATTACTTGGGACTGTTTTTCGGCCTATTTTGTATCGGATTGTTTTTTCGCTTTTTTTCATACTTTTCCGGACCGTTTGTTTCGTTCATTACATGATTTATCGGACTGTTTTGTATATGCACCAGAAAATCACATTCCCTGTAAGAATGAGTACTGTTTATCAGTAAGATTCTCTGGAACACTTAAGATATAGAACGTTCTAACTACCATTTTATGACTCTGTAATTGAAATGAGAAACAAAAAACAAATGAGAAATCGATTATTTTAATTTTTTTATTTTCCCCTTTGGCAGGTACTATCAAGTACAAAATGAACCCTTTTGATTCTAGGTAGTTCCACATTATTTAAACAAATTAGCTTGCCTTAATTCAATTTTAATTAGATTTTTTCCACCCATGCTTTGCGCAATAAAAAACTGGATACTTTGCACGCCATATCAAAATTGCTCAGTATTAAACCCACATCAATTCACGTAGTAAAAATCACAGGTAAATGAATATCTGTTAGATTTCAATTCAGTGCAACTATACATTTCAGATGATAAAGAAGTCACATTTACTCCCGTATTTTCTTCAACATCGGAAAACGATTTCTTACAAACAATTCTAACGATTTCTTAGGCTGCGAAGACAACCGCGTTACCTCTAGACCAAATGCGGAAAAACCTGGAAGTTGTTAAGGTTTAATACTTTAGTAAGTTCAATTTCTTACAGATTTGCAGTTCTTTACGGGGGAAAAATCTAGTACCCGATTGCAAGTCACTTGCTTTCGCAAGTGCTGTAAAAACTTTCAAAACTCAATATTTGATACAAACGAATCTTGATTCGCTTAGAAAGAATAAGTATTCGGACTTATCTGATCTTAGTCAGTGAAATCTTGAAGCATTCTGGACGTTATGCAGGTTATATGCCGCTTGATGCCCCAGAAATTGAATATTCCCCAACATAAACTTCAAGAAACTCAAGGATAACGAAAATAAAAATACTGACTTGTGTAACAGAAATGTTTTGAGCATTCGAGTTTCAAAGACAAATTTTTAAAGTTATAGCCCTTTGAATTTCAAAACTGTATACTTTCCGCTCAGAATTCTGAAAACTACAGTTCATTTCGCGTCATTCATGTTTTTGTGGGAGAGAGTAAATTTCCTTCGTTTCAAGAAATGAATTTGAATTCAACTTAAAATGAAATCAATAGTCAAACCGCAAAAGATCGAATTTGAGCGTGAAGAAATTTTTATGACTGCATTCATAAGTGCAATAAGAAGCATGAGAAAAACCGTATCAAATTTTTAGTCCACTAAAGGGCAAATAAATTGAGCCAGCAGGCCTATAATTAGCTTATATTAGACGTTTAATTCAAGTGAAGCCTTTAACTTTATTTCAACTACGGTAAAAATTAGTTTTCAATGTTTTTAAGCCCCTCGTTGGGAATTAAAAATCGAAAAAAAAAACTGAAAATTGAAATTTTTAAACACATTTTTCTTGTTTTTCGTTAGCATTACTATCAACTTAACTATTATTATCAAATATGCCAATGTTCTTGGTTTTCTTTTAGATCCTCTCATCATACCACAAATTAAGAAAATCAATAAGTCTTTTTATTATTGTGGTCACAGCAACCAGCTATCTTGAATATTGCTTCCAAACACTTTTTTAGAACAATTTTGAGGACCTCAAAAAAACTGTTGGGGATTAATTTGCCATAGTGCCAAAACACTTTCAGTCACAGCTCGCATACAGAAAAATTCTTTGTTTTCTAGCGGATTAAGGAAGGGGGACGAGGAGATTGGCGGACGATCCCTCCCCCTCAGGGATTCGACCCCCTGCTGACCCACGGGTACACCTTGGTACTATTTTGAGATATCCATTTTTTGCCTGAAGGACCCTAAAAATTTTCTAAATGCGCCTTTAGTTACTTATTTTCAATAATATTTACTATATTAACGCCAATATTTTTTTAATTTTGAGGGGGAAACGTGCGCTGAAAAAACACTTTTTTCTGTTCAAATTTTTCCAAAAAGTGCCTAAAAACGCTTCTTAGGACTGTTTTTTCTAGGTTTGCGGGCGACGCAGAAAATTTTGCCAAACAATATCTTTTTTTGTGCTTTGGGAGAATCTATTTAGTCAGCCTAAAAAAAGGCCGACATAATTTCCTCGAGAAAATCCTAGATTCGCCCCTGACAATATACACTAAAATTTCTTTCCCTTAAGTGTTATGTTAAACGACTCAATTTCCTGTTTTTCTTTCAATTTTTGCTTGACTATTTTGGTTACCGTTTCAGCCACTTTGGGAAAAAGGGAAGGAAATGAGAATGGATACTGAAGCAAAATTCCAAAGCGGAGCAAACTTCAAGACTCATTAAAAATTTTTTTCAAAGAATCAATACCAAAAGAAGTGAAGCATACGGATAATCAACAAAAATTGCCAAGAAAATAGAAAAACGAAAAAAAAAATTCAAAAATGAATTCAATTACTGGTATATTCTAGCAAATCTAAACATCTAAACATAATTAAGATAAAATTTCACTTTACACAGTTGATCAATATGCAGCTGGCACGTTTCGAAGTCAATTAACCAGAGATCTCTCTAGATCCAAGGAGTACGTAGACTTCGAGTCAATCTGATCCATTGTCATAGTATCAAAAGAAGGAATAACAATTGGATTAGCAGCTCCTGCTCCATTTGAATTGTTGGAGTACTTCGGATTAATGACGAATTTTACTCCATCTATTCCCGTTGTCAACACTTCGCTCTTCTGTCGCTCCAGTGTCATCGCACTCCACTGGTCGTTTGGCCGACAGACCTGCTGGGGCATCATCATAGCTGTGCTATTCGTTCCACCTATTAATTCAAACCCATTCTCCGTAACTGCATTATTAGTCATAGCCGCTGTACTTTGTTGAGGAGTTCTCTCTGTCGCCGGGTTCGGAATCGTCGATTGTACTGTGGCGCTGCTAGCCGTTAGTGGGGATAAGTTTTTCCATTTTCCGTAAAGAAACATCCCGTTAAGCTCTCCGATTTTGATATAATTCGTAGTTACTGTCTTCTCGTTTCTTGCACCTAGTAACAAATGGATAGATTTAAACTTCAGACTGTAGCAATTATGACGCAATGTCAACATTAAATTAAAGATAACGAAAGTTAGCAAGAGTATGTCGACAGTAGTTTCATTATCACAACAAGCAACCCTGAATCTTATTTGACTACAGCGTGTGACTAACGTGTTGTTTCAATTATCAACATTTAAAATTCAAACCAATTTAAAAAGGTAAAGAACATTTTGTTAACAGAATTTCGCTTATTAGAGTCTCTTTTTTCAGAAACTTCGCTTAAAACGTCTTATTGTACTAAGATCTTAAGGTGAAACAGAAATTAAATAAAGATTTCTTGAAAACAACCGACCCAAAAATTCAAGTCCGAAAAAAAGAGTTGAAACCGAATCTTTTGATATTTAATGCCAGACAAAAAGTACCAAATGATGAAATCGCGTCTCTTCATACTTTCTAAATGAAAAAGTTCAGATAATAAAAAACTGTTATCAAAAAGGCAAAACACGAAAGAAAATAGTTTTTACTGGAGTCAATTCGTAAAAAGCGGCGATTCGTAAATTTTGAAGGGCAACAATTTGTAACATTTAAGTGCTGATAAGGAGGAAACATTGCGTCCTAGTGTTGAGGAATTGAAAAAATTTATTCCACTTTTAAATTGCATCAAAAGCCTCAGGTGGGGGACTAAGAATTAAAGCTTAGCTAAATTTTGGTTTATCAGTTTTGATTTTATTTCAATTTAGTTATCATTAAAACAGTAACTATGCACTATACAAATGGACCCATTTCTTCCTCATTTCTTAAAAATTCGTTTTTTTTTCACCCACCAAATTCATCCAATTAAAATTCGCTCAACAACGGCTAAGCAATTAGCAACTTCCTCTCAAAGGAAAAAAATTTTCACGAAAATGGTAAACACTTAACTTCTGGGGGGCGAAAAGTTTACACAAACTTGACACAGCAAGATAACTGGCCAGACAATATGGCGATGTTGCTAACGTCCCTGCAAAATTTCCTATTATTACTTTCGATAGCACAACCGTTAGTGAAAGGCTTGAACATAGCCATGCAATCATTCCACATATGCCAACTCGTAAGTCAACTTGTGTTTCATTTTTGCACATGTACTAGAAATTACACCTTAAAATTAGGCTCAATTTTGGATAAACTAAAGCGTTAAAAAGCTCGAATAGAAGGCTTGTAATTTTGCGAGGACTAGGAGAATTTTTGAGCTAGCTGAAGTTACGGTTGATTAATTATTTTTTCAAGCATACTGGTAATTTCCTGGGGGGATCCTAAGTTGAACCCGTTTCGTTTGCGATAAACCGTTTTTTGGAACTCAACTCAAAGACCAGCACGTGAGGGCTTTTGAAGCGCTACAAGAAAACACAAGACTAGAACCCACCAAAAATTTTCTAGACTTCAAGAAAGCGTCTGTCAATGCCTTTCAGACCATTTTCCGCGTGCTTTCATGAAAGGCTTGGTGAAAGCTTGTCAGGACTTAGCCAAATGCAAGTATTAGATCCGGATAAAAGCCACCATAAACAGCCAACAACAAGAAAGCTCTCGATTTTCAGTTGTTAAAAACTATCAAGAAAATAGAATCGTTAAAATCCTGCAAGTTGTCTGTAATACTTGACTTAAAGGAAATTTTAGTATTTGTCTTTGATGTCAATTTATTTTTTTAAATTGCACAATATTAAAGAAAACCCCGTTAAACGTTCTGCTTTGAAACGAAAAGTCGCTTTACTGAAAACTACGAACTGTCGCCCATTACGAGTTCGTATATATAACGAATTGTTGGCTAACCGAGATCAAGTTTCGCAATTTTTAAAAAATATTTCATGGATCACTTAACCAAATAAAAACTTTTTGAAAATCAAGGTACACGCAAGACAATTTATTTCGAAATCATTACTAAGAGCCCATACTGAATAACACAAGGATAGCCGGATAAAAACAGCAAGTAGCACAGAGGGTTCGTTCAAAACATATTGATAAACAACTACAAAGAAAGTAATGTTTTTGTTCTGACCAACTGAAAAATGGGGAGAACCTTTGCATTCGGTTGTTTGTTTTTTTTTATATACATTTTTGTTTTCCACACAGCATGTGAGGTACCATAAATAATCATCGGACTGGGTTGAGGGAAGCCCTTTCAAACGTGATTCGACAACTACAAAATTTCCTAAAAAAATTTTCGGGTCAAGACCTGGTTTAAACTTTTTGATTTTTCTATTTTCGAGCTAATAAGGTGAGCGATTAGGCTTTCAATAGCTTATTTATGCTCAATTTAAGCCGAGAAAGCTTTGTTTACCTCAAGTAAAGTTCGTTTTTGGAGTTTTTTAGCATGACTGTCAAATCTATTTTTTCGTTCACATCTGTTTATCACACCACGCAGAAAAAAAAACTTGTTTGAACAAACTTTTATTTTTTTTAAATATGGTCGGAACATTCTGTGCTACTTGCACAGTAGCCGGCTATCCTTATTTTTTGTTTAATTTTGTCATTTATTGTCCATCGTATGATAAGAAGACCATAGAAGTTTTTCTAGAACTTCTATTCTCTGGACGTTTTTATAGTCAAGGAAGCGCTAAAAGAAATTTTAAATAAAATTTTCAATTCAGAAAAAGCAAATTTTCTGAGTCTATATAATGAATGTAACTCGATCGCGTCACTCACTCGAAATTAGACTAAATATCAAATTTTCAAATCAGTTTTTCTCGACACTTTGACAACGTTTTTAAATTTTTAATATGATATATCAATCAATCCAAACAATTACTATTTGCGGTAATTTTCAATAGTCGGAACAATTAACTATTGTCTGGTTTAAAACAGCAAAACTTCCGCCGATGCTGCTTTACTGATAGATGCCGAAAACGCTTTCAACTCGCTGAACCGAAAGCTGGCATTGAAAAACATCGATAATACCTGCCCTTCTCTTTTAACAGCAATTAAGAACTCCTACTCTAAACTATTCGTTAATAAAAAAAAACAATCTACTCTCCAAGAAGGGACAACCCCGGGGGGATCCACTAGCAATGGCCATGTACGGTCTAGCCATAATACCTCTCATAAAACTTTTATCAGTAGACGATGTAACACATAAATGGTACGCAGACGACGGAAACGCAGTCCTTAAATTAAGCAATCTACGAACCGTCCTCGATAAAATTGTATCACAGGGTAAATTTTTCGGCTACCACGTGAAAGCATTCAAATGCCAACTCATTGTCAAGGATGAAAAACTCGGTGAAGCTCAGAATATCTTCGCAAAAACAAGAATCACTAAAAAAGCAGTAGCCCGAGTGCTTGGTCAGTTATAGGAACAGAATCTGAATGTAAAAAGTTCCTCGAATTTCAACAGAATGAGCAAATCAAATTTTTGAAAAAACTAACGAAAATCGCCAAAACGTTTATGCCTCCTATAATAGAGGAGTTCAAGAAAAGCTTTCATTTCTTGCCAGGAAAACGCCTAACACCATGGAAAACTTAGAAATATGTGGAAATATTATGAAAGAACAATTATTACCTAACCTAGTCGGTAAAGACACTTTAAACCCCCAGTTCCGTGAGATATCTTCCTTACCCCTTAAAATGGGCGGACTTAACATCAAGCTGCCATCCGATCATGAAAGCTACCTAGAATGGTCTAAGGAAACATCACTAGTACTGGAATATCAAGATCCTGTTACAGCAGTAACACAGCAAGAAAAAATATGTACGAAAATCAGAAAATTGAAAACTGATAGAACAAATAAAAAAAAAAAAACCTCATTAACTCCTTAAATGAAACAGATAAATACGCAATCGACCTGGCCTCTGAAAAGGGAGCCTCTAACTGGCTCAATGCTTTACCACTGAGTAGATACAACTTCAACCTGAATAAATCAGAATTCAGAGATGGTATTTACTTAAGATACGGATGGGAACCAACCAAAACCCCACTCACATGTGCATGTGGTGCTAATTTTAACTTGACACATGTGCTTCACTGTGCAAAGGGTGGTTACACAAACAAAAGACGCAATGAAATTAGAGACATATTCGCCAACCTCATGAACGAGGTTTGCCATGACGTCGAGATTGAGCCGAAACTTCAGCCGTTGCAAGGCGAAAGCTTTGTCAACAATTCAACTACAACTGAAGATGAGGCACGACTTGACATTAAGGCAAACGGACTCTGGGGTTCACGATTCAGCCGCGCTTTCTTTGATGTGAAAATTTTCAACCCCCATGCCAAAACATCGCGAAAACTGCATAAGGACGCATACAAATACCACGAAACGCTGAAAAACTCCAAATATCAGCAAAGAATTTTAAACGTAGAGCAGAGTAGCTTCTGTCCGCTAATTTTCGGATGCACCGGTGGCGCTGCTCCAACAGCCACGCGGACGATGCAGCGATTAGCCGAAAAACTAAGTGAAAAAAGACAAGAAAGCTATCTAGAATCTATAAACTACATAAGAACTAAAATAAGCTTCGCGCTCCTGAGGAGCTCTATACTTTTTATAAGGGGGTGCAGATCGCTACGCAAAGTTCAAATTATCGACAACTCCATAAGCGCTATTGTAGAGGAAGGACGGCTAAGATAAATTAACATGACGACGATGCATTTAATGCTGATTTATGACTTCATTGCCGATATATATTCATTTTTATATCGCTGGTATGGCTCTATCCAGCTTGTGCACTTACCGTAACTAAACGGAAGGGCCCCTTTTGTAATTTAGTTTTTTTAAATTAATTATTGTCTCGCTGGCCATAGTTATGGGATCTAAAATTACTTTATTTTTCCAGCACGTTTCGGTAACATGCATACAGTTTGTTGCTCTGATTATGGAGGTTAAATGTCTATGTTTTCAATGGTCGGAACAATCAAACATAGCCATGTGACAGTAGGAAAGGAGTAATGAACGCAAGGAAACTGAAAAAAAAACGACTTAATTTTTCAAAAATATTCAACGTTTGAGTTTCGAGTAAAAAAAATTAGATGGCCTTAAAGCTCTTTGAATTTGTAGAACAATTAATGATGGACACTTTTTTGTTAAAAATTAACCCAATTTGAGAAAACTGGATTAATTTCCATTTTCAAAATTAGAAGTCGATCACGTTTTTCGTGACCTTTTGCTGTTCGATAATGGAGTTTGCCTCCCTTTTAACAATGGAAATGCTCTGAACCTGAAAAGAAATCACAAGAGCGAAAAATTAAAACTGAGCGTGAACAAAGTCTTTTTCATGAAAAAACAAAATAATAATCAGCAAGACCTTTATAAAAGTACCCACTATGTTCATTACTCTTAATTATTGTCTCACTATTGCAATTACCTTTTTCAATACTAGACACGCCCCATGATTAGGATAGACACATTTCTCAAAAATGTTTGTCAACAATTGGTATCGATGTTTCGATTATTGAGCAGAAAATTCACCTTTAGACACGAGAAGAAGGTCCGTGAAAGCTCCATCACAAACTTCTCTCGGTTCGTTTTTGATAAAAAGCCGCAGACCCTGTAGCGCCGGCTGTCGCTGAGCAGATCCCATAGTCTGACTGATGACAACATAGCCAGGAGGCGCTTCGCCAGTTCCATCCTTAAATCAGATGTCAATAGTTACATTTCAGAATTTCTCTGAAATTTATCAACTAAAAACAGTGATCGTTTTTTTTTGCTCGAAGCGTATTTTATTTACCTTAACGATTTTAATGTCTTTCACGACGTTTCTCCACCGGCCGTTATCGAGAGGAAATACTCGTGTATAGCAAATATATCGCCGGACAGCTCGAGCAAAAAATCCATCCTTCCAAATATCAGCATCTTTGCCATCAGCTGATGTTGTAATTGCAACATACCCCTGCGGTACATTTGAGATAGATTCGATAACACCAATTCCCGTTATAGGATCGTCTTCAGACATATCACATCTTGAAACATTAAAAATAAAACACATGAAAGTTTTTCCTTGGAAAATCAAATGAAGTTCTATAAAATACCACAATTGGCACAAAATCAGCATATCACTTGTGGCAAAGGTCGATTACATTGAAATATTGCATTGAGACAATGGGATTAAATTAGAAAACCAGTAACTATTATGGCAACCCATGTTACTAAAATAGTCTATTTATTTTTACTTAAATCATTTTCCCCTAATTATAACGTAACATTCGCCAGGAAGTACATATCGACGGAAAATAAAGCTAGGTTCTAAAACGACTGGTTAGCGTCTAAACACAGCTCTACATGCTTTTCACCGTATCTGCCAAAGCCAGTTCCTTTGGTGGTTTTCCTAACATCGGGTCGACAAAACGTTACTGCTTTCTGGCTTCGACCAGAACGCTCAAATTAACTTAATTATATTCAAAAATAGTGAGCTCATGGCTGGGTCTCAGTATCCGCAGACCACAAGGTCACTCCCAAAAACAGGGCAACTACTGTTTATTATATTACTATTGTTTTTGTTCAGTAGATAAAAATCAACATCTCCATCGAAGATGGATCAACCCTTTCCCTCACTCCTAGCATCTCATTCTCTGAAAATGAATCTGGATGTTAAATAAATTCAACTCAGGGATGACCAGGTAGCTAACAGTTTATATAAATTAGTTTGAGTTCTGAGCCCGAGACCCCTCCAGATTCTGGAATCCGGGGAAATAGCACTCCTATTTCTTTCCGGAAAGCTAGACACTCCGTCCCAACACCCTTCCTTTTTCTGGGGTTCTACGTTGTAACGATTGTAACAGCACAATCGTTACAACTCGGAATAGTTACTGACAATCTCAAATTACAATTTCAATCTGTTGTCGTTTTCTCATAATTGTTTCCACTGCGATTATTGTTGTTGTGTTTCGCCGTTTCAGCGTGTGCGATGCGAAATATAAAAAGGTTGTCGTTCACGACCGAATCGAAATTTTAAAAATTAGCATGTCAGTTAAAATTAACCCTTCCCGATTTGTCTAATCAATCAAATATTTGTCTTATCCATTTAAACCATCAATCTTCCTGGTTAGATGTTTTTTTTATCGATAAAAATTCGATTACGAAATTGCAATTTCGTACCTTCTGGTCGAATGTTACATACTCCCCGGTCAATGTCCTCATTGAGTCTCGTAGTCTTCATCGAAATGGTACAGTGCCATCGAACAGAATTTAAAAAAGTCATATTTATCCACGTCATATCGACTCACTGCAGAATATAAATCGCATCATACTACACTACTATAGTCTTCCAAATTCTTTCACCAATCTGCAATTTCGAGGATATACTTAAGATAAAACATCTTTTTAGACTTCCTAGGTTTTAAAAGTGTAGGGAAGAAGGACATTCGTGCCAAACCACAAACTAAAATTATCCTACTAATCCTCTTCCCTTCGGAAATTTAGTTGTTACTAGCCCTGAATATTAAAATTAAGAAACTCAGTGGTTAGAAGGAACACAACACTTTTTGTTTGGTTTCTCGTATATCTTTAAGTGTTTTTGGTCACAGGGAACGAAGGCATGGCCAATCCCCCCACCCTTCCTGGTACGTGAATTTTCGGTCTTAACTAGGTTAAAAAACTATTCACGGGAATCCGGAAGGCTTCCGCGTTCCAAACTACCCTTCCGCCCCGGTTGTTAGCGCCTTGCTTTGAGCATTTGCTCGGCGCGGAGTGCTCGTTAACAGTTCTGCCGGTCAGTATGTTAAAAAGAATAACACCCAGGAGCGCTGTAAAAACATCTATGTAACATTCGCCCGGAAGTACATATCGACGGAAAATAACGCTAGGTTCTAAAACGACTGGCTAGCGTCTAAACACAGCTCTACATGCTAAACACAGTTCTTTTGGTTGTCTTTCTAACATCGGGTCGACAAAAAAAACTTTACTGTTTCAGGCTTCGATCAGAACGCTCTAATTAACTTAATTATATGCAAAACTAGTGAGCTCATGGCTGAGTCTCAGTATCATAGACGACAAAGTCTCTCCTAAAACCAGGGCTACTACTTATTTACTAAATTACTGTTGTTTTTGTTCAGTAGATAAAATCATCATCTCCATCGAAGATGGATCAATCCTTTCCCTCAACTCCCAGCTTCTCATAATCTGAAAATGAACTTAGATGTTATCAATTCAAATCAGAACGTCTCCAGGATGCTAAAAATTTGTTAAAATAATGTTTAAATTATTTCCCGAGACCCTTCCGGATTCTGGAATCCGGAGAAAAAACGTCCTTGTTTCTTTTCGGAAGGCTGGACACGTCGTCCCAACACCCTTCCTGGTTCTCGTGAATTGCTTTGTATCGATTGTAACTGCACAACCGTTACAACTCGGAATGATTTATGACAGTCCTATTCATTCTTAAGTCTCGATCGGTTTTACACGACTTTGGATGTTATTGTTTTCACTGAGGATTCTGTCGTTCTGTTTTCGCAGTTTCAGTTGTTGCAAAATATAAATCGAAAGTGTAAAATCTAGCATATTAGTCAAAACTAATCCCTCCCGATTTGTATAATCGTTCAATTAGCTTCACTAATCCATAAAAACCATCAATTCTCTCGGTCAGGTGTTCCGAGAAAAATTCGAATACGTGTAGGGTCGAATTTCTGGTCGAATGTCAAATAAATTTATTAAATAATTTTGTGATATGGCGATAATGGAACACTTGTAAGAAAACTTGAGACGGGATTTAAGAGACAAGCTCGTCAGGTCGCGATACGTCCCCTCTCCGGGACACCCCAACCGGAATCTCCGGCCGTGAAAAACTAGTGACTGACTCTGCCGAAGTACAGGCCGAAGTGGCTACCCAAATGGAGCAGGGAACTGGTTGTAAGAACTTCAAGGACCAAGTACTGCATCCCAAAAATGTCGGAGCCACGCTACTGTCTACAAAGCTAGCCGACCTTGCCGCTACTGTCTTGTGCTACCACTCACAGAAACTGAACTGAATTATTATATGAGCCGGCTTTAATGATAACTCATATACGAATTCAGACTTTGCTAATGATTAGAGATTTTTAATAAATTTATTAACTCATAAGTTTAACCCAAAACCCTTTAATCCAAATCCCCAAGCTTGTCATCCCTAAAACCATCCTCTCTGCAAATGATCACTTCATAATTGATAACTTGGTGCTCTAAAAAATTCTCTGTTTCGCATTGTAAATAAATTTTATCACTCAAGAATCCGAATTGTCTCCCCCTAATTTGCATATATTCACCATAAATATAACATTCGCCCGGAAGTACATATCGACGGAAAAAAAAGCTAGGTTGTAAAACGACTGGCTAGCGCCTAAACACAGCTCTACATGCTTTTAACCGTCTCTACCATAGCCAGTTCTTTGTGCGGTCCCTTTAACATCGGGTCGTTAAAATGGTAACTGTTTCGAGCTTCGGTCGGAACGCTAAGATTAACTTAGTTACATGCAGAAATAGTGAGCTCATGGCTGGGTCCCAGTAACCCCAGACCACGAGGTCACTCCTAAAAACAGGGCTTCTACCTATTTTTTATATTATTATTGTTTTTGTTCAGTAGATAAAAATCATCATTTCCATCGGAGATGGATCAACTCTTTCCCTCAACTCCTAGCTTCTTTTTATCTGAAAACGAATTTAGATGTTATTATTTCAGTTCAGGACATTCCAGGAAGCTGAAAGTTTGTTAGAACAGAATTTGAGTTCTCTTCCCAAGACCCTTCCGGATTCTGGAATCCGGACAAAGAGCGGTCTTTTCGTCTTTCCAGAAGTCTGACGCAGTCGTCCCAAAACCCTTTCTGTTTCTCGAGAAATCTTCGGTAACCATTGTACTGTTACAATCGCTACCATTCAGAAAGGTTTTCCGTTAACGTCTTCAATCAATGTAATTTGTACTTTCATTGCTTTTTCTCGTTCGTCTTGTCTGTTTCAACGAATAATGTTGTGCTGTTTTTTCCTTTGTTCAGTTGTGGCGAAACTTCAAGGTCGTGACGTGTTTTTATTTTGAAACGAATTTTTTAAATTTATTACGTCACGCCAAACTGACTATTCCTGATTCGTTAAATTGTTGTATTAGAATAGCTTATCTGCTAAAACTGCCAACTTTCCCAGTTTACGGTCACATTAAAATTTCGAAGTCGTGTGCCAGTCGATCATATTTGGAAGTTTGATCTTGCGCAACGTTTGGTCTTTATTTTGGGGTGAAATGAAGTTTTTCACAAAATTCTAATTGAGCATGTCATGATCAAGTTTCTTGCGACAACTGAAAATCCGAAAAAGTAACAACCAAAAGGATCGAGTAAAAATTGCGGGAAAGTTGCTGAAACACGCTAGAGTAAAATTGCTATTCGCAACTTTACTGGAATTATACTACGAGAGTAGAGCTATCTTGTTCCTGACAGGAAGGACAAAATTGCACGAAGAAAGAAAGAAAAACGATCGATTGTACCGGAGTGAACCTTGATTGGAAAAGTGGACAGCTGAAGCTGCCCAATGGTCCAGTCAGAAAAATTATTGCTTGAAATAAAACTTCTCCCTTTCAAAATTCCTGAGTCAAACTTAATTACCAAATCATTTCTAGAGTTGCTTTACAATTTAGTTTTTCAATTCTAGAGGTGGTGTCGGTATGTAAGTACCCAATTTAAATTTCTTGAGCGTGTTTTGTTTTGTTATGTTGGGTCAGGGAGAGTTTTTAGGTTGATCCATCTGAAATGGATCTAAGGTCTGCTGTCCAATAAAAACTAACCGTATACGAAAAGTTTTGACCCTGTTTTTAACGGCGTTTGTGTGTTTTGGATATTGCGAAAACCGAAAATATCAGAAAGACAAGATCAGAACAACCGAAAAAAAAAACGCGGGAAAGTACTTGAAAAAAGCAGCGGGAAATTGCTATTCGCATTTTCCAGTTATAAATGGAACAACGGGAGTAGAGCTGTCCTACCCTGAATAGGAAGCAGAGCGATTGTA